GAGAAGCGCAGCGGCACGTTGGGGAACCTGGCTGAGGAGCTCAACGGCTACAACAGGAGAAAAGGAGGGTTCACCTTCCGCTTTGGGAGATGAAGGCCTGGACTTGACCCCCCAACCTCCTGCGGGTCACCTCATCCCATCCTTCCCTTCCATCTCACCTAGGTTCACTCGGACAAAAGGGTATTGGGCGGATTTTGCTGCTGGGATTGCCCAGGGGAGGGGGGACATCGCATTTGCTCCATTTGCAGCCCTGCCACAGACCTCACATCCCTGCTCCCAGCCGGTGCAATGGAAGAAGAGGAAGGTGCCTTAAAAAGAAGCCACCACGTCCCTTCCCCGGTCACTTGCAGCCTTTGCCAGGGCACAGTGTAAGTGCCCTGTGCCAGGTCTCCAGCACGGTGGTGCAGGCAGAGAGCAGGGATGTCACCCTGGGAGAGGACAGGCAGAGCTGGCAGGGACGGGCACTGAGGCTGGAGGTCAGTGGGCTGAAGGGCTGCAGGGGGATAGTCCTGGGGTGACAGTCCCCTGCCCATAGCTCCCAGGCAGAGCAGGGCTGTCAGGGAGGAGCGGGTCCCTCAGAGCTCTCTGCAGAGCCACTGCTCTCCTGCCTATTAAGGAGAAGTCTCTCCAGCAGCAAATTCTGCCTGGTGTCAAGACGCCACTTAGAAGAGCCAGCTCCTGTGTGCAAACCAGAGCAGCGGGATCTGAGAAAATCTTGTCCTTAGAAATCCCTGGTGACAGCACAGAAACCTGCGCTGGCATCACCAGTCCTGCTGCAGTCCCCAACCCCAGACCCAGAGTCCTGGAGAGGGTGAGGTGGTGATGACCGACCTTCAGCGTCCTTGTCACGTCACCCCAGCACTCACCTGAAAGCCCAGCCCTTCCTAACCCCCTCCTGGCCTCATCCCCCTATTCCCAGCTGTAGCCACTGCAGAAGTTTGGGTGCAGAGGGGCTGAAACAAGGACTCCTGCACCCACCCAGGGCCACCTCCTTTGATGTGTCCTCCTGCTCTCCAGTCCCCTCTGCTGCAATCGGTGCAGCTTGGGGAATCGCTAGCTCCAAAAGCCAGCACAGCCACAGCTGCAAAGGACAAGCCCCACTCCTCAGCGACTGCCTTCTCCTCCTTTGGGCAGATTTAGCTCTACCAAGGCCAACAACGACATTTGCCTTTGTGCCTGCCACTGCAGGCAGAGATATTAGTAATCAGAGGTCTAACTACCTGGCTTGCAGGCACTAACGGCAAGTTAGACACCTAACGACTGCTAATATTTCATTGCAGGCACAAGAATGAAGCAGGGCAATTATTTGCAAGTGCTAAATTGCACCCTCAAAATCAAAGACCGTGGCAGGACTTGGTTGAGGGGGAAAAAAAAATATAAAAAAATAAAAATCAGGCTCTAAGAGGTGCATTGTGATATCCATCAAGCAGACAGATCACTTAATACAGCGCTGCTGGGGCCAGGGCGAGTTGTTCTCGCAGAAGGAGTGGTGTGTAAGTGAAGGCTGAATGGAGTTGAGCTGGAACCCACGGGAAAAGACCAGCCTTGCGGTGACCAGGTCTAGGAGAAGAGATGAAGGTGAAAGAACAGGCTCCCTCGGGCAGCTAGGCATGGGTCACAGCCCCATGGGTGCAGAACGGGAGGGATTCCAGATTTGCAGGGATACAGATGATGTCAGGATTTGGCCCTCACACAAGGATGGCACCGGCTGCAAGGGCAAAGGAGAGGAAGAGCATCTCCTTCCCCTGCATCTCTGCTGCATCTCACACCACGGGGACCACTCCAGCCAGCAGCAAACCCACTGGCACCAGGGGTGGCAGAGCCCACGCAGCATCCTCACCCTGGGCACCCCAAACCCAACTCTGGTCCCTCTCATCCCACCCCACCAAAGGCTGATGGTTTGGGGGACGCAGGCGCAGCACTCGCACGACGCAGCGGAGACGGGAGATTTATCGACGTTTCTATGGCAACCTCTCTTCCACCCCCCCCTACCCCCCGCTCCTTTTCTTTTGAGTGTTCAAACCATCAATAAATACGCACTGATCAATTTTACCCTGTGCAGGACTGGGGGGGGAGGGATGGGAGGGAGGAAGGGGAAAGGGTTCTGGAGCAACGCTGGGTTAGGGAGGGCTGGTAAATCCCTGGCTTTGCTGTGATGGATGGATCGTTGCAGGGAAAAGCGTCCTCATCTGCTGCAGAAAGGGAAAGGAAACCTGCTGAGCAGTGCCAGGGGGGTGCCTGAGCTCCTGCTCTCAAGTCCAGGAGAGGAACAGGGTCAGAGCAGCAGGATAAAAGCACACGTGTAACGAGGCTTTGATTGAAGGGCAGAAATTCTCTGTATAATGTATTTAAAAGTAACAGCCAGCGCTTCCCACAGCACTTACCTGGCGGGTGGGACAGAGCTGGGCTCAGCCCGCATGCCTGGGGGTCTCCTCAATGGGCAGCTCCGTGCCAAGTGGGCGATGCCATCTCCTTCCTCACCCTTTGGGAGGGAAGGGGCTCCTGGCCAGCCGTGATGCAGGTGAGGGGCTGCAGCAGCCCCGGAGCACCCCTCAGCAGGCATTAGATTGGGAAAAGGCAGCGCTCCAGGCTCGTCGTTGTTGCTCCATGGTGAGCAAGGCTGGGCAGGGGGGGGGAGGAAGGAACAGTGAATGGTTAATAACAAAACTGGAGTTTGGGGGTGTTGCCTGGGAGGAAGGAGGGGAGAACATGCCAGGAGCGACCCCCGGGAGGCTGGAAAGCCCATCTCTGTGTGCTGGACACCATCTCCCATCTTGCTCCCATAGGAACCTGCACCCCCTCCCCTCCCAGGTCCCTTTGTGGGGCAGACCCCAGCGGAACGGAACAGTGAATGGTTAATAACAAAACTGGAGTTTGGGGGTGTTGCCTGGGAGGAAGGAGGGGAGAACATGCCAGGAGCGACCCCCGGGAGGCTGGAAAGCCCATCTCTGTGTGCTGGACACCATCTCCCATCTTGCTCCCATAGGAACCTGCACCCCCTCCCCTCCCAGGTCCCTTTGTGGGGCAGACCCCAGCGGAACGCCCAGGCCCCCAACACCTTTGAGAGCCGGTGAGCTCAGATCCCACCCACACACTGAACCATAACAA